GGAATCCAAGCACATGGGAATGCTCATATGTATAAAGAGACATGCATTTCAGAAGCTCTGCCTTTTCCTGGGTGTCCTTCCTCAGCTTCGCTGCCTCGGCGGTGGCACATCCTGGGCTCCATTGGTCCAACGGGACTGTAAAGCTTGTGCATCCTCCCACCCATGACGTTTCCTCCTCTGCATCTTTCCTGCCTAACACCTTGAGCTGCTCTATCTGTCCTGTCTGCCTATTCCAAACCCTGAGCAAGCGAAGAGAGAAGAGATGATAATGAAATGCCAAAGCGAACAAATGTCGCCCCTTGTTAGCAAAAGAGGAGGAAGGTACCTTAATGGAGAAAGAAGCTGAAATTAATGGTGAAAATGAGGTTTATCTGTGTAATCTGTGGACCTGGTGTCTTCCCATCTCCTATTAGCATAGATAACAGAGTTGTCCGAGTAATGATAAAAGGAAGCAGGACGCAGTTTCTCATAAATCTCCACGGCTGGTCTCTGTCTTCCCTGGCTGGGACTCTAAGAACACTTCAGTCTTATCAGGGCGGCTCCCACTTTTCCCTCCAGTTTGCTCCCATCCAACCAAAACTGCAAGATCCTTGAACCTGAGCAAAACGTGTTCCCATGTCCCATTCCCTCCTCTGCTCCAGCCCAGCTCCACTAGCACCTCCAAAGAATGGCAAACTCTTAACAGTCACAGCGAGGTTGTACTGGCCTGGGAGTTTTCCAGGGGAAGCAGTGTGCAAGTTTACCTGCGTAAATCAAAATGCGCAGGGACATCTAGACAGACAGTGCCCCGAAGCACACTGCGGGCTTCCAACAGACTCCACAGGGATCTGGTGAGGACTCGCTTTTCTCAGGGATAAAGCAACTCACCAAGCATTTTTAAAACTTCTGTTTCAGACCCTTAGTCTCAGTGAAACTTTGTATAAGCTCTTCTTAGCCATGAGCCATAAGCTAAGTATTTTTCTTTAACTTTTAATAAAACTTACTAATAACCACTCATTAGCTGTACTTCATTAAAAATAGTGGTGCCCACGGTTTTGTCTTATTTGTTTAGTTTTGGTGGTAATGGGGATTGAACCTAGGGCCTTTGCACTGAGCTACATCTCCAGCCCTTTTCTTTCTTTCTTTTTTAAAATCTTGACTTGGGGTCTTGCTAAGTTGCTTAGGCTGAGCTAGAACTTGTGATCCTTCTGCCTCAGCCTCCCATGCCATGTTCTACCATATTTGGCAAAAAAATATTTTTTTAAAAACAAATTATTAGGTTTGTAAAATTATAGTAAAGTACTCTAAAAATGAAGTTTCTGATCCCGTATGTCCTTCCTGTCATTGCAGATTTGTTAAAAATTCAAGTTAATTAAATCATAAAGTTTTCTAGAACTAGCTTCATGATATTGGGGATAGTTGTAATAACGGCGATAATCATAATAACAATAAAAAGAATGAAAAAATTTACTAAGAACGTACTATGTGTATTTCACTTAATTATCACAACAGACCTATTATTATCTCTGTTTTACAGTTAAAAACAATAATGAACCACTTGAGCTCTCTCTCCTTATCTATGAAATGGTATTCTTTAAAAAATAAAAAAAGTTGAGGTGAGGCAATAATATCTTCGGAAATCACAGAGAGCAATTCTCTAATTAGCTTGAAAAAAAATCTTCAGGTAAATCAACCAAGCTTAAGAGACAAAAATCATTTTAAAAGGTTAACACAGAAGGACGGCCTTCTTGGAATCTGCTGTCATAAATACAGTTCTGGTGACAGAGGAGGCTGTAAGGTCTCCAGGACCCCCGTCTGACAAGCTGACAGCCAGCCTGACCCGCTCTGCCTGGCCAGGCACTGCGCACCGGGGGGCACAGAACCCTGGGCGTGGGATGCAGACCCCTCTTTTCTTGCAGCCCTGAAAGCCTACGAACCCGTCACAACCACTTGTAGTAGACTACGTCTGTGGATGAGGTGCAGGGCTTTGTGCCACGGAGAAATAAAAAACAGAAAATATACCCACTTATTCTCCATATAGCTGGAGTTGTGTTAGGTATTTTAATGTGAGGGCTTGATTTTATTTTTCAAGTCTCTTTAGAAGCGGCCTGTCTGGTACAAGTGCATCTCAAGAGAGAAGGCCAGGTTCAGAGTTCTCGGGGGCCTGGAAAGGACATTCAGTACCAGTCCTGACCCATACAGATGAGAGAACAGGCCCTGAGAAGGGGAAGGCCCCCCAGGGCCCACACTGAACCCCAGAAGCTGACTCGGAAGCTACCATGAGCTCTCTTTCCAGCCCATGCTGCTCTGACAGGACCAGCGCAAGTGCAACCAACTCCGGAAGTAGAGACAGCTTGTGAACTCAGGTGATGCTTAGCCAGGTTCAAAGGGATTTGCAAAAGTCCTCTTGACCACAATTTTGGCTAATTTTGGATGAAACAATGACACTAACGTGACGATTTTATTACGAAGATTTCAAAGCATTCAGTTAACAATTCGTACCTGAGACAGGTAGAAAACTGAAGCAAAGAAAGGTTAAAGGAATGAGGGAGGGGAAGGAATAGTATTATAATCATCAGTTTATTTTTTAAAAAAAATCTGTCTTCCAAAACTGAGGCCAGTGAGGCAAAAGGTAAAATGATCCTCAATTCACATTTCTAGTCTAACGTTCCTCTGTGAGCTCAGTCTATAGTAAACACCATATCACACCAATGTTCTCAGCAACACTGTTCGTAATAGCCCAACAGTGGGAGGAACTCAAATGTACAACCGATGATCAGATAAACAAAATGTAGTACAAATGCAACAGGAAAACCATTCACTGAATAGTCATTCAATGAATATCCATTCATTGCCATTAAAATTCAAATCTCCTCAAGACCTGCTTACTGCCAGGAGCATCATGGTCAATCCACGCATGTTCAAATCTGCAGACATCCAGAGTCACACACAGGCCACTCTGTGTCCTACAGTGACCATCACACAGGCCCCCACCCCAAGACCTCCCATGTGGTGACTCCAACATGGAAGCCCATGAAGAGACCGATGCAACCAGTGTTACAGAAGACCTGGGCAACCGAATACCCTGACACACAGAGTCTCATCTCGACAATTAAATTCCTCATGATGGGAGAATATGCATTTAGCCCATGTATATTTTACCTGGAGAGAAAACGGTGCCATGTGCTAGAAAGACCACCAGGCCCTGCTCACCCAACTCCGCTCTATAAACAAAGAAAGTCAGCCCCCGCGTGGCTATTTTGGTGGAGTCAGCAACTGCATGTTGCACTGAACAGTGGGTGCCCTTAATGCAAATGCATATAATTAGGGGCTAAATCTTTGTACCTCTCCAGGACAAAGGATATAATATTCAGGATGTACTCTTTGTGACTTCTGAGGGAAGCTTTTCATTTTTCCTTAAAAGAATCCATTTCCTACGAGGCAAAGAAATCTGAATAAAAGAATCTTTCGAAATAGTGGGAGGAGGGGAAAGAACATGAGTGTTGTATATTACAGTTACAACTCATCACCCGGACCAGAGAAGTGCCAGTCCTGTGCCATACCATCACCTCTACTCAACTGCAATTTAAAGGTTTTCACAGCCTTCTCATCTCTCATGGAACTGATAACTCAATCCTTAAGTGTTTAAAGATCTCAAGAGTTTGTGAAGACAAACAACCTCTAGGGATTCTACCCACTGCCAGCACACACGGATATTTAATACAAACAAGCTGCCACTTGTAAGATGTCCACTCGACATCATTCCCTCTCGCATCCTAAACACACGTCAAGACCACATCAAGATATTTCGAGGCAAACATCCTTAGAATAATGTTTTGTTCCCAAAGTGCTTAATTAGCAGAAACACTATGCTAGAGAGCTGCCCTTGAATATGCATGCATTTTAACCTCCATGTTATTTTTTTCTAAAGCACAAATTTTCCTCTCGCTGGATGGTCAGGAAGTGATCGGGCACAGAAAAACCAACTGTCATAGGGGCTGACCTGCAAAATGAGTTCCATCTTTCCAAGTAGGTTTCAGTTGGTCGTTAGGGGACATCCCCTTTCCTGAGTGGGATCTTTGGAGCTAAATGCCTCTGCTCCAATCATTTTGGGTAACTATGGCCTAGTAATGCCTGAACTTTAAAAAAATATCTCCCACCAACCTCTTCTGCCCCTTGGCATCTTCCTCCCATCCTCAGCTCCAGCCAATTACATTTACAAGACTTCAGTTAGTGTATTACAATTTGAACGAACCCATCCATTTGTTCAGGAAAAGTGACCTCAGGATTTGCTCTACTAGAAGCCCATAGACCAGCGCTGCATACAGCAGAGTTGCACACACAACCAGGGTGATTTATTTACAACAACTATGTGTGTCTGATTCACGTCTCAGTCTGGATGGCCTATCTACTACTGCGTCCCATTTCAGCTAACGCACTTCCATGCTGGGAAAACAAAGATGGGGGGACTAGCTGGGACAAGGAGCTGCACATACGGATGCCCCTAACCCTGGCTGCCACATACTATCTGTGACTGTGCGCAAACTGGGCCAAATGTCACCTGCTGCAAAGGTTTGCCACGTACAATGGTTTTCAGTGGAGAGTGGAGAAGTAGCTGCCAGAACAACTGACCATGTGGGGTTCATTAAAACTTGTACATTTACCCATAAGAAGGCTGGAATGCTTGTGAAGGGAGCTTCGATTCTCATTTCAGGGATCCTGGCCCCCCACGATTGGCCGTGATACTCCACAGGAGAACGGCTTTACGCATCAGAACCTTCTGACGTGGGCTCCCACTTAAGTGCAAGAAACTTCTGCCTTCCAGTCTCCCCCACCCCGTACCCCCCAGTTGTATTTATACTTTGCAAGAAGTTAACATGAAGCAGTAGTCACCTGGGCGTGCTCAATTTTTGACAAGCCTTAGTCACTCTGTACCCAGCAGAACAATTCACATTATATTCCAAATCCTGTGAAGATTCTGCCACACATGCTAACACTAAAATGCCAGTAGCTCCACTTACCTTCTTTATTAAGCCTCATAACCTCCCTGCTTTTTCCACCCTCTTTTCCAGCCTCTTCTAAATCTACATCTGCAGATGAAAAAGAAAAGGAAAAGAGAAAATGAGGAAAAAAAAAAAAAAAAAAGAGGGGGTGGGGGAGGAAAAAAAAGCCAAAGTCAAAGGGGGAGGGAGAGTGTTTATTTGCAAATAGATCGATATAAATACTGTCTATGAAAATCTTGCAAAAATTGAGAATGCAACGTTTTCTCCCAAGTCTGGGTTCCCATCTACCTGGCCCACATAGGTACCAAAAAAACTATGCAAGCAGCAACAGAGTAGCCTTTTACACGGATACCACGGTGGGGCTGCGAAAGCCCACCCCGCGGGCTGCCACGGGAGCCGGGCACGGACAGACAGGCAGGCAGACAGACAGACGGCCGGCCCTGGCAGCCGGGCCTCCCTGGGCACTGGTGATCTGTCTCCGTGTGTATTTATTTGGAGAGAGAGGGAAAGCATGGAGGACACGGGGGCCACTCTTCTCTCTCGCACACACACTTTTTCCCAGTGGCTCTAGGTGAATGGAAAGGTTACAGGATAATAAAAGGAGGAGGAGGCGGTGGGGTTCTTACTGTCGGAGCAGTGTAATTTGGCGGCGTCGATCCAGGAGGACCAGGGTTTGCCCAGAAACGCCTCCGGACTGGGCACTTTGCGATCCAGTGTCGCCATTGCTCTTCCTTCTTGTTGCTTTTTCCCTGTTCCTTCGGCAGCAGCAGCCGAGAGACACGGGATTCGAGAACGCTCCGACGTCATCTTCGGAACGTTCCGACATTGAGCGCTCCGCGCGGGGGAGGAGCGGGGGAGGGGC